TCATATCTATTTGGTGATATGAGGGTAAGATTATAAAATGATCTAGAATGAATAACTCTGTTATCCTTTGGTTTGTCTGAACTATGTGTATTTCTTACTCATTTTGTGTGTTTTAGAAGTGCTAGTATTTGCTTTCTATATTTATTTGTTTTGATCTTTTCAGAATTTGCTGGATGATGTAGAAGAATTTCATGAACGTGCTCAGGAGGCAATGATGGATGAAACCCCAGATTCCTCCAAACTCCAGTTGTTGATAGACATGGGCTCTAGTCTGTATGTGGAACTGCCTGAGTTACCTCGGCTGAAGCAAGAGCTTCAGCAGGCTCGATGGTTGGATGAAGTAAGATTGACCCTATCAGATCCACAGCAAGTCACTTTGGATGTCATGAAGAAACTGATTGACTCTGGGGTAGGATTGGCACCCCACCATGCAGTGGAGAAAGCAATGGCTGAACTACAGGAGCTCCTTACAGTGTCTGAGCGATGGGAGGAAAAGGCTAAGGTCTGCTTACAGGCAAGGTAAGCATATGTTTTGGTCATTGCTACCTCTTTAATGGAGTCTTGCTGTAGCAATGTAGGATAAACACTGGGCTTCTAGCGATGAGGTTAGCAGTTCAAACCCAGCAGCCGCTCCTTGTAAACGCTATGTTGGGTCGCTATGAGTTGGAATGGACTTGAAGGCTCTTAACAACAACAAAAACAACACCTCTAATAACTAGTCAGAAGGTAGAATGGGAAATAAAGTATTGTCTCTTAAAATGTTTAATGAAATATTTTGTGCCTTCCCAATTACTAAGTCATCAAATGATATTGCATCTTGATAGTTTCACATATTAAGTACAGAGTTCTTTGTTATGTACTTTAAGTGATACAAAGTACAGCAGCTCCTTGGAAACCCTATTCAAGGTCTCTACAAGTCGAAACCAACTCAGTGGCTTTTAACAACAATAATATTAATGATATTATATTTAGAAATTAGGATATATAATGCTCATTGCAGTGTGTTATTCATGTTACTTGAGAGGTACAGATAAATACTGTATCCATAGGCATAGAGATCACTGTGAACTTGGATGTTCAGGAGAGAAGCTTAAGAGAAAAGTGAGAATTTAGGTAAGTCTTCGTGGAGCAGTGGCTTAAGCATTGGGCTTGTTAACCACAACGTTGGTAATGCAAACCCACCAGCTGCTCTGCAGGAGAAAGATGAGGCTCTCTGTTCCTGTAAAGATTTGTAGTCTTGGAAATCCTAAGGAGCAATTCTGTCTCCTACAAGGCCCCACAGTGAGTCAGAATCAACTTAATGGCAGTGGAGTTTTCTTTTTTGGTGGGGGGAGTTGAAGAATGAGTGCTACTGAAGTGGAAGGGAGGTAAGAGATAGTGTCATAAACTAAGTTCTAAGAGTGTGTGTTTAGGTGTCAGGAAAAAAAAAGGGGGTTTTACTGGAGTGCATAGGATTTATGCAGGAAATTATTGTTTGGTACTGTTGAGAGTTGGTTCTGAC